GTTACTTATAATGACATGACCTTGTTTCTTATAGTGATACTTATAATGCCATGACTGTGTTACTTATAATGGCATGACCGTGTTACTTGTAATGCCATGACCATGTTACTTATAATGCCATGACCGTATGACTACTAATAGCATGCCCGTGTTACTTATAATTACATGACCGTGTTACTTATAATGGCATGACCGTGTTACTTATAATGACATGACCGTGTTAATTTTAATGGTATGACCGTGTTACTTATAATGACATGACCGTGTACCTTATAATTACATGACCGTATTACTTATAATGGCATGACCGTGTTAATTATAATGGCATGGCCGTGTTACTTATTATGACATGACCGTGTTAGTTAAAATGACATGACCGTGTTACTTATAATGACATGACCGTGTTACTTATTATATTATAATATTTAACACGGTCATATCATTATAAGTAACAAAGTCATGTCATTATCAGTTATAATGACATGACCGTGTTACTTATAATGACATGACCGTCTTACTTATAATGGCATGCCCGTGTTACTTATAATGGCATGACCGTGTTACTTATTATTACATGACATTGTTGCTTATAATGGCATGACCGTATTGTGTATAATGACATGATAGTGTTACTTATAATGAATGACCGTATTGCTTATAATGACATGAGCGTGTTGTTTATAATGACATGACAGTGTTACTTATAATGACATGTCCGTGTTACTTATAATGGCATGACCGTGTTACTTATGATGACATGACCGTGTTACTTATAATGGCATGACCGTGTTACTTAAAATGACATGACCGTGTTACTTATAATGGCATGATCGTGTTACTTATAATGACATGACCATGTTAGTTTTAAAGGCGTGACCGTGTTACTTTTAATGATATGACCGGGTAACATATAATGACGTGACCGTGTGACTTATAACGACGTGACCGTGTTTCTTACAGTGATACTTAAAATGACATGACCGTATTGCTTATAATGGCATGACCGTGTTACTTATAATTGCATGACCGTGTTACTTATAATGAGATGACCATGTTACTTATAAAGGCATGACCGTGTTTCTTTTAAAGATATGACCGTGTTACATATAATGACGTGACCGTGTTACTTATAACGACATGATCGTGTTTCTTATAATGGCATGACCATTTTACTTATAATGACATGACCGTGTTTCTTACAGTGAGACTTATAAAGACATGACCATATTGCTTATAATTGCATGAGCTTGTTACTTATAATAGCATGACCGTGTTACTTATAATAGCATGACCGTGTTACTTTTAATGACATGACCGTGTTTCTTATAATACCATGACCGTGTTACTTATAATAGCATGATCGTGTTACTTATAATGACATGACCGTGTTACTTTTAATAGCATGACCGTGTTACTAATAATGGCATAACCATGCTACTTATAACGACATGATCGTGTTACTTATAATTGCTTGAATGTGTTACTAATAATGACATGATTGTGTTACTTATAATTGCGTGACCATGTTACTTATAATGACATGACCGTGTTACTTATAACGACATGATTGTGTTACTTATAATTGTGTAACCATGTTACTTATAATGACATGACCGTGTTACTTATAACGACATGATTGTGTTACTTATAATGGCATGACCATTTTACTTATAATGACATGACCGTGTTTCTTATAATAGCATGGCCGTGTTACTTATAATAGCATGACCGTGTTACTTATAATGACATGACCGTTTTACTTTTAATATCACGACCGTGTTACTTATAATAGCATGACCGTGTTACTTTTAACAGCATGACCGTGTTACTTATAATGGCATGACCGTGCATCTTATAACGACATGATCGTGTTACTTATAATTACTTGACTATGTTACTTATAATGACATGACCGTGTTACTTATAATTGCGTGACCATGTTACTTATAATGACATGACCGTGTTACTTATAACGACATGATTGTGTTACTTATAATTGCGTGACCATGTTACTTATAATGACATGACCGTGTTACTTATAACGACATGACCGAGTTACTTTTAATGGCATGACCATGTTACTTATAATGACATGACCGTGTTTCTTATAACGACATGACCGAGTTACTTATAATTGCATGACCATGCTTCTTATAATGACATGACCGTGTTACTTATAACGACATGACCGAGTTACTTTTAATGGCATGACCATGTTACTTATAATGGCATGACCATGTTACTTATAATGACATGACCATGTTACTTATAATGACATGACCATGTTACTTATAATAGCATGCCTGTGCTACTAAAATTTGATATATTACGTCTTATTTATTCTGAGACGAATTCTCAGACGACACTTAGTCATACATGAAACTTTTTTTATTTATTTCTTTTATTATTTATTGGTTTGTTGTTTCTTTTTGGGACATTGTTATCTTTGATGAAATATTTGGAAAAACTTGATGGTGTAGGGAAAAAGGAAAATTATATTTTATAACGACATACATAAACAGAGACTGTAAGATTGACCGAAAACTAATTGGGACGACTGCCATTATAAGGTAACTAATACAGTCAAACTTGTGTTAAAGATCCCTGGATAAGATCATTTTGTGAATAAAAAACATTTATAGAAAACCACTCATTTAAAAGGAGCAGAGTAACCCCCAAATAAAGACAATTAGTCTATAAAGGCCATGTGAGGTCTCTCTTATAGGTGGCCTGTGTTCACATGTTAGACTGTACGTAAAACTTTGCTGTGTAAGTATTTTAGAATTTATGTACTTACTTTTAGCATAAAACAAATTTTGAAAATTTTTTAATGTTACAATTTTCATAGATATTTTTGCAAATATAATTTTTTGAAGATTTTTTTTTTGAATGAAATTTATCAACAAAAATTCGCTTGCGTCAAATTTTAAAACGTTTGTTTACGAAGTTTTAAGATACTGTTTTTGTCTTTTTTTTTAAGTTTTTGTTTTTTTTATTTCAATCCTTAATAGCGTTATTATCTCAGACATCATTTTAATAAACACAACGTTTCAAGTCACTTCAATTTTTAAAATCCTTACTCCGTATTTAAAACACATCAAAAGTATAACGGCAAGTTTGCTACAGATTCACTTTTCTCCTTCGGCGACAGGTGCTCTAGCTATTTCGGAACACTCGGATTTCATTAGCACCCTCAAGTGCCCGTGCACATGCCTCACTTTACCATCTGAGAGCCTCTTATATTGCTGCGCACTTTTGTGATTATTAATACAAATGGGTATCATTGAAACGAGTGGCCATGTTCTGTCGATCGTTTGATGTTGAAGTTCGTATACACCTAAAATTCCTGATTACTACGGCAAGAGGATGGTTTTGAACTTTTTACACACATTGCGCAAGAGAAAATAGTCCTCATTGTAATAAACAAATGGAGTGTTAGTTTGATTGAATTACGGAATAAGCAGGTTCGATTTTAATGTTAATTATATCCCGGGAAATATGCGAATAGAATAAAGATACAATTTACATTTAATATGCTATACAAGAAAATTACATTAATTGAGGTACGGGTGATTTATGCAAATGAAAGCTTTTATTCGAGCGTTCAAGGAAACTGAGCGAGATTTCAACAAAGTACTTCAATTCGAAGTAGTGTACTTATATTTATAGCCAAAGGGTTAAGGTGTTTTTGTGCCTATACCAGTATAAAGACGTTAATACCACTTATGTCACGTGACTCTTAAAATTATATTAACGTTATATCTTTTTCGTATTTACACTTAAAGAGTAATTGAATATTCCTTTGACAGTGGGATTTGCGGCCTTGTGGGATGTCTCTATTACAAAATAACAAACTAATTACATATATATGTATAATCTTTTTTTTTTGCGGGTCACCAATGATATTATATGAATGACTTTCATTTAGAAAGAGGCAGGTCAAGCGTGATAAATGATTCGTACGCATACTCACATTACGGCAATGTGCTTTACGGCAATAAATGAACCATGATACCCGTAAAGCTTCCTTTTTAAACATGATTCGCTTTTACATTCGGCATAAGCTCGTGAAATTCCGACATATTTCGTAACTTTCCGTCTCCAGCCCATTATGGATTGCATACCTTAACTAAATTTATTATACAACATTTTGCAATAAAAAAAAATGAATAATACGTAATACCAAAGCCAGTAACATTATTTAACGCTGAGAAATGGTCACGTGTGTGGTGATCAATTCCACTCTTGTTGCGTTACAACGGTGATCTCCCTTCTTCACTATTTTTCATGACAAATTGTAGATATTTATGAAAAAGCATATAGTATTATGAATTTTACCGGTTTGACCGGTTTTACCAATTCCCATTTTCTTTGTCTTACATAACTTTTTTTCGAAAGATGCAAAATAAATAAATTTCGGGAGTGTGAGCATGTCCCTTTAAAGGTCACTTGCTCAACCAACATCCTTTCAGAGTAAGATTATGCCAATCCTATCTGTCCTTCCATTAAAATCTAATGACGTTTCATCAAGCATAAAATAAAACCAGTTCACCCCTACAATTTTTATAAGCCACTCGTCAACTAAGGCCCTGGTTCAATGTCATGGGTGCAATATATAAATATATGTTGTGTTAAAGGTACATTCCAATCTTTTTTTTCTCTTTTTTTAGGGCTGTAACGTATCTTAAGTTAATTTTTTCCCGCCCAAATTTATTGATAAAAAAGACGGGAATGTTTCTTTTTGTTAACGTTAAAAAAATCTTCAAATTCACATCATTTAAAAATTGATATTCCAGTACATTTTATAAAACAAATTATCTCCCTTTAAAATAAATATGTATTCAACTTTTCATGCGTCTGTGTGTTAAATGAAAAAAAAAATGATTTGAGATTGTTAGAAATTATTCTATGCTAATTTTGAAAAAGGAAAAAGAAAAAAAGTGGGAATGTTCCTTTAACCATTTCTAATTATATGCAACAAAACAACCCGACGAGTATAATATAAATTATATTTATTCATTTTATTACGTATAGCTCCTCACAATAGTTTGGCACGTCAGGTGCATAAATAATAAAAATAAAACATAAATAAATACAGACATTTGTTGTTTTTGCATAAATATTTCAATACAGTATCATAAAACATATATTATAATGATCAAAATTCAAATTAAATCAACAGATGAGATTTGAAATTGTGAAATCAATTGGACCCTTAGAAATGTTAAACAAGTTAGTTAATGAACAAAAATAAGTTTTTAGTACATCTTAAGAATAAGGTGTATGTTTAGTCTTCTGCATATTGAACGTACAACATAATGTTAGCAAAATGTTAGAAAAATCAAGAACTGAAATAAATAAATTAGCACATATCTTAAAGTAAGATGGTAAAATAAACAAGTCTCCTCATAAACTTTTTTCACTTCATTATATGAGTAAATAATCAACAAATTGTAAAAGAATAACTTATTTTCAATGTAAGATAATATTTAGCGCAAGTCCCCTTTCTATTGTTCCATTCTACACAAAATGTGCTGACGTACGTATAAACGTATACTACGTCACAACTCTGGCTTTAACGCTTTTAACATGTGCGTTTATCATCGTCTTAAACCTAGACAACTCCCTTCTTCGTGTTTGAGTAATAACGACATCCTCGAGAAGGTCTTTGTGCAGTTTTTGCAGCCGTACTTTTTAATATCTGAATGCGTCTGCAGATGCGCGCGCAGGTTTGATCTATCAGCAAAAGCTCGTCCACAATGTATACATTTGAACGGTTTTTCACCAGTATGCGTCCTTACGTGTCCTTGTAGTAACCATGGTCGTGAAAAAGCCTTCCCACACAATTTGCATTTACAGGGAAGCGTGTGGGTTCGAATATGCATTTTCAGAGCGCCGAGAGAACCGTACGATTTTTCGCAGTATTTGCAGTTGAATTCTTTTTTCACGTGACTTACACAGTGAAATTGTTTGTGTTTTGAAAGGCCTCCAAAAGTTGAATAACTTTTCTTACAGGCATCACATTGATAACGTGGCGGCGGAGGAATTCGCGATTCTTTCAGAGGAAGTGACGTCATTGGATTAGCAGACGACTTCAACCAGGCCATCCACGCGGCGGGATTCTGAGCAAGAGGATTATGTGGTGCATTCATACTCGCATTTAATTCATATGACATTAATTTTGCCTGGTGTTCCCTGAGCATTTGTAAGTGATACTGGTTTTGCTGTTGGGCCAAAAATGGTGCAGTTGTTGCTTGCATTGCTGCTAAACGCTGCTGTTGTTGCAAATGTTGCTGATGAGCTAATCTCTGTGCATGAAGGTATTGAAGCTGTTCAACAGAAACTTGGACCTGTGACATGACACCGCCTGGTATAGACGGCATACCTTGTGGTGGTGAGCATGTTGTCCCACTAGGTGACGTCTGATAACACCGTCTGTCGCAGTGCGCCAACATTCCAAGGGGAGACAACTGGGAAGAACATGAACTTGAAACGATTGGAGAGAAAGCGCTTGATGTTTGTTGGTCCTTTTTGTCAGAGTTGTCGCACAGACTGTCTAAAATCTGTCCGATTGGGTCCCGTTTCCGTTTCGCAGATGTCATACCCACATTGGTCCTTTTCGGTGTGTCGTTAATCTGAGATTTTCGTTTCGACTCCAAGATCGGTTCTGGAGATATTGGCGGAGTTGGTAAATCCGGTACACCTTGATTACCATCTTTTACATCTGAAACAGAAGAATGAATAATTAGATGTTATACAAAAATGACATTTATTGTAAGACAATTTTTCTACGAAATGATAAGCTTACAAAGGTATACTTTAGCTGACAATTTTCTCATCTGCAATAATGTATGCTAATTTATTTGTTGATACAGACCTCTGTTGAGATAATGCATTGTGGGAGATTGATATCTGCTTATTTACATGATAGATTATAAGCACGTGGTACTAGCAGAAACAATACTAATGATACATATAATTACACGCAGCGGGATTCTAATAGAAGTCTGTCTTCTCGTACAAGGTCAATGTAACCACTTTGAGCATGCGCAGCACGCGCTCTTAATTAGCATTTAAAGAATATTGATGGACATTGGTATGGTAAGGAATAAGGTCCGTATCGGAAAACAATGTGATAAGTAAACACCGTAACGGTATCTCGCGGGGTGACGGTACTAAATTTTCTTTTGAAGTTTTGTCTTGGTGTTCGTACACGAACTTATTATATAACTGAAATGATAAATGATCGATGTCTGTTTTAAACATTTTACAAGGTGAATGATCTTAAATCTTTATTGAACCACCTTTTCGGGCCATTAAATTTCCAAAATAAAAGCTATCAATACAGTAATAGGTACTGGTCTGCTTCGGTCTTAATTTGTGTGATTTCAAAAATAGCAATAATAGATATCAAAATATGCAAAAACAGTCCTTTTTGTGTTAGTCACGCAGAAGAAAAATGGTGATAAATACTGAAAAATCAGTCATTAATCGCGCATATTGTGTAAATTATTACTTGTATTTTGAATCTTAAACTCTTTGACATCTTTCTCAAGTTTTATTTTCTTGAAATATTTTCGCATGCAGCTTTAAGAAAAAGAGGAGCATTATTTCGCACTATTAACTAAACATAATTTTATTTTAAAGCCAAAGAAATTTCTAAAAATGTCTGATACTAGTCAACAAAGGACACTGGGAAATGAATTGTAAACGGAACCCTCTTGTAGTTTTAATTTCTTAAGTCTATGGTAAAACTTTATACCGTTAAATAAAAAATATAGTACATATAAAAGTTCTTTCTCTGCCATTTGTTTTAGCGAATGTAGCCAATGGGGTTGCGTACAATTTGTTTTTTCTACAAGTGTTTCCCATTGACAGCGTCGCAATGGTTTCGGAAAAAAACTTCATTCACAAATTTCAAATGGCGTTCATTCTCATATTAAGTGGTTACAATCCATAAAACAGTTGTATAACACCGCGGAGAGCTCCGTATCTTAAGTTAAATCTTAATATTAAAGTATGAAAACCTGTCGTATTTTAATAGCTGTAAAACAGCTCCACTCTCCCTGCCATGTTTTCCCCTTTACTGACAGAGAAAAAAAATAAAGTCTAAGTTTTAATTAGTGCTTCGTTATCAGATGATAATAATGAGTTATCATAAGTGTATTGAGGAAATTGAATTTGTTTTTTTCTTCAAGGACTAGGTACAAACAAAGTTTAATTCACATAACTTTGTTTTAAGGCGTTGTAAGGTGATTGCACCTTCCTCTGGGAAAATGTTCCGTTAAAGAAATTAAAAGCAAATTCAATTGAAACAAGTCACTAAAAAGGGCAAGCATTTTTTTGCGAATTATTATAAAGTTCTGCTTAAAAAAGTAAAGGAGGTGTAAAATTGTTTGTAATTAAATTAATATGATATATAGATTGAAGTGTTTCTGCATATCATATTTTATATATCATATTAAATTGTTTTTTTTACCATATTATAATTAACCATTGAGATTTTGATTTTTTCTTCCATTTTCTAAACAATTTTACATTTTTATATTAGAAAAAAAGTTGACCTCTGGACTGTTAGAAATTAAATTTAGTTTTATGCACAACATCTCTTTTTAAAAGTCAATCTTGTTTGATTCCATTCTAAAATATTGCAGAGGCAAGTTTAAATTTTTATCATCTTTATCTTTCATTCTTAACATTTATCAATTCAAAATAATAATTTTTCGCTTTAAATTAATCAGTTTTATACATGAAAATTCAGTAACTCTGTTATTTTACGAAAATTCTCACCAATTCCAAGGACGATAAGATAATCATAAACAAATATTTGATATCAAACGTAAAATAATTAACATTTATCTAAAATGTCAATCTAGGTTTCGGATAAGTTGAAAGCGTTCCCTCAATTTGACATTTATGAGAAAGTAAACACTTTTTTATTCTTATTAATTTTCTCTAATATATATAAATCATAAAATTATAGCGGTTTATATTTTATATGGCCGTGTCCACCTCTCTTGCTGGGTAAATCATAAATTATTTTTATAGAAAATTTCAAAATATGTTATTGACTGGACAGCTAACAGTGCAGACCATGATCAGCCGTGCTGACTGAACTTGGTCTGCACTGGCTGCATTGGTTAGAATCAGTTGCCCGACGCCCCCCCCCCCCCCGGCAGGTTAGGGGTTTAGGATACACATCTTATATCCACTTCGTGTCAAAGATTTAAGATAAGGTCGAATGAAATTTCGCGTGCCTTTTTATAACTTTAAAACTGACAAGTTTACCGGAGAGTTATAAATTTAAAAAGAGCTTTTCGGGTAAAGAAAAGTTTTGGCATCTTTCCGGATAATTTAATAAATATCGGAGATCGTATAAACCGAAAGGTAGAAAAGTTTGAAAACGGTTCCGATTTGAATTTTGTGACAAAGTACCTAAGAGGCGGAACTTGTGTTTAATTTAGTGTTTTAGAAATCTAAAAAGATACGTTAGTATAGATTTGATAGATATACATCAGCAAATGGTAGAAATTTTTATTATCAGAATTTTTTTTTAGTAATAAATAAAATGGGGAGCTAGATATCTTTGCACTTACTTTAGATATACATGTGTTTGAAAATAAAGGAATGTGTAAAAAGCACAACAATGTATCTCAAAGATTAACAATACATGTAGTATGAAAGGACTACTTAACTTGGCATCTTGTCACAATGTCGATAATTGTAAATATTTGATGTTTCATTTTGACGAAAGTTCTCGATAAAAATTAGTCAATAATATAAGAAGACAATTTGAAATCAACTCACTTTTTAATACGCATTTTTACTTGCCATAGGAAAGAGTCCTATCATCAAGTATTGTATATATATCCAGGATTAAAACGACTTTGAATTGTTAATAGATTGCGAACAATTAAAACGTCTCTCAATATATGTAACTCTGATACCAGGCTGCTGTTCATTATTTGATAATCTTTATATGTAATATCTTTTTTCTTCAGATTATGTGTTTGTAATAGTGACACTTCCATATTTTAAACCGTTACGAATGCTTTATGTTTTTTTTAAGACTGGGCCCAATACTAGACCATTTTTAAGAATACTACTTAGTTTGACTTTGATTATTTAAGGTACTATCTTTATTAAATAGCATATATCTTTACACAAGAGTTTTTTCTAATACATATATACTGTAATGCTATAAATAAACATTCATTGGCATATCTATACAAATATTTTTATACTTCAGTAATTTGTATAATCTAGATTTTTTATTTCATAATTTCCAAAACGTTTCCGAAATATCATTTTCATGTATGATTAGAATTGAGTTTTAAAATGAATGACAAATTACAATTTCAACTTCATCATTTTGTTATTCATGCTTTATAAATGTTAGCAGCAAACTCAAACTTTTCCTCAGTTTTTTTTTTGCATTTAGTAAAATCCCTTGTTTGACACAAGCCTTTTCTTACACCATTTTCATATTTGCATTCTTAAATTCTTTAATTGGTGATTAATATTTTTCATTGAGACTTTATTAATAAGAATACAAAGACAATGCTCACCAAATACTGCGGTGTTCTTATCCTCTTTTAAAACCACTGTCTTTTTTGGTGGCGGGTCACGCGTCAAAATGTCATTTATTGAAAACTTTTGTGGTTTCATTTTGGCGAATATCCTGAAAATATTCTGTATAAAATCCCTTTTTCACTAACTCGTTACTTTTTACATCGATTAATGTTGTTCGTCAAACCAATTTCTTATATTAATACGTTTTTAGCACACGCTCCTTTTATATATGCATTGGTTTCAATGACAATGTTATTATCAGTAAGTATATGTTAATTTATAGACAAAACATTCCCAACTTGTCAGCAAGAGATAATCTGATAAGATATAATAAGTTCATTACTTTATAGAGGTCCTAGAATGTTATCTTAGAACTTCCAGGGGTGTTAATTGACTGCCTAATTTTCTGTGACGTTTTCGCTTTCCCCAGCCAATACGCGTTAGAGATTAACTCTTAGCCCCCCCTCTCGCGTGCAGTGTTGCTGCCGGGAAATTTCTGTGCCCGGAAATTGGGTTTTTCCGACCTTAAGCCCAAGGGGAATCCCAAAGTCGGAAAGCTTTCAATCATTAAAATCATGTAAATATTTTAAAAAAATTTCTTACGCTCCCGAGCATAACACAAATTACAAGATCACCTTGTGGTATTGACGGTAATATATAGTCTATTTTCACAGCAGATATCAATGCTGAAAATGTTTTCATGGGTAATTTGTATAAACCGACACTGACAAAAATTAATGTGAATTCTTCAAAAATATTTGCAGACGACATATCTTATTATTGTAAGGGATAGCGTTTGTTCTAACATAGCATGAAATACTGATTTTTTTCGGGTCTCAAATTTCGAACAATTTTTAACTGACATTCAATTTGCTGTAGAAATTTAAGAATTATCAAGTTTTACCACATTTTTAAACTTTTCTGTTTCAATTCCTTCTTTTTTCAAGTTTGATCAGGGTTGTAGATGTGACGAAAAATGTACATCTTCATCCATTATCTATAACACTTCTTAATCATGATTTATAAAAGCGTGCAAATTAAACACTTTTATTGCCAGTTGATTTGATAAAAACAGCACTATGTCTACTTAATGTTCAACCTTTTATATAATTTAATCTCTAATTGACTATTATTTATAGATATTTTTATTTCCGGTAGATCTAACTCATATCTTTTTAAAAGAACCAAAATTATTACAATCAAAATTTTTGACAATTTGCTTATTATTTTTATGTGTTATATTTTACCGTTATCAGAATAACGTGTCCATAAAGTTTTTCCTCGACAGGGTACATCTTTTCCCCTGGTTCGCATTAGTCTGTTACAGTACCTCACTGTCTATGCCATCAAATTAATCACCCAATTTTGGCTTCTAACGGTCCAATGTCCATCGGCCTATTTATTCAGTAACTCATGCAGATATCAAAAAGTTTGAGCCCTTTTTATCCGTCTATAAATCAATCAGAGAATCGGCAGAATCATGGAATTTATCCATAGGAGCAAGTCATATTTATTATCATTTCTTTCAAAATTTCATATGGCCAATTAGTGAGCTCGGTTCACCTCTCTTTGAAGATGTCGAAACATAACGGACTGTCTGTCCACCTTTGGACTGGTTCTACAGAATGAGAGCCGTATTTCATTTAAAACACGAATTTATAATTAATTACCGAAAAATTTCGACTTTTTAACGGCGTAAACTATCAGAGTGAAATGCTAAAAACTTGTAATTTCATTTGAAGCATGTAAGATTTCACGAAGCGTGCCCATGCACGTTCTGTTTACGCTTAAATACATATGCGCGTTTCTATGCACGACAGGTCTTAAATTAATCATTGCGTTCTGAGTGACAGAAACATAGCGCGCTATTTCGTTCCAACGAGCTGTCTCGGCTATATGATGAAAATTGAATGTTTTTGTCGGCACTTTGCTACAAAGAAGTGGATGTTTTGTGGTATGAAACTAATGATTAAGTTGTTAGTTAACACCTGATGCGTGGAGATCTACATTACTCTTGTCTTACGTACTGTAATTGATTTACAAAACTCACACTTGCGTCCTTAACTTTTTTTCTTGGTTGTTGTTTTTTTTAAGTTTCATTTTAGTTTTCATTTGAAAAACGTCTCCCTAAAATCATATTTTTAACTTCGATTTTTTTTATACTTTTCTTATTTCTTGCTTTAAACAGAATATGAAAAATTGAAAAAATAGAAATTAAAGTATTTTCAAATGACATTTTGTACCGCGTGGAGTAAGCATTTGCATTTTGTTTGTCATTGCTGTCCTTTGTGACTGTTTTTGGTTCTTTTTAGAAAATGTCTCTTATTTTGTAAGGTAAATGCTAGATGCTTTTATATCATAGACTGATATTCAAAGAGTTTATAAAATACGACAATCTAAAAATAAATTAGATTGCACGTGATTTGAGCAGCAGACGACACTGGTTTTGTCCGCTGATATTTCGGTCCATAAATGACTTCTAAAAATCATTTACAAACGCTGTAAATTAGAAGACATTTAGCAAAGCAGTTACAAATATAAACACTGTACAGTGACTACTTACTAAACATAAATATTTTTTAAAATCACTTTCGTCTTAAAAGATCAAAAACACTTTAATACTTTGTTTGCGCATCGATGTTTTATTTGCATATGAACAGATGACCAAATTGTAACACATTTCTAGCCTAAAATAAATACTTAACGTCAGAAAATATTTACATTTCTTTATTTTTGTTCACGATTTGCCGACAAAATTTACGATTCTGGCGAAATGGCGACAATAATTGATGTTTTATAAATTCTGCTTAGCGGCAAGTGGCTTTGAAGCGGGTGATCATCTAAGGGACATAATCGATGTTATGCTTACCTCATTCAAAAGTAATATCAATATTATTACAAATATTTATTAGAAAATATCCGCGAAAAAGTTCTTCTTCGTAAAGCATTTGTTCGGAACAGGTGTTTAAGGTTTTTACCTTTGATGTTTCCGCAATAAACCTTATTTTCATGAAAAGTAAAAGAGAGAAAGTTAAAACTAAATATTTCTAACATCAGTATGTTAATTTCTCGCTAATATTTTAACACATGTTCACGTAATAAGGTATCCCCCTATTATCATAATTATTAATGTAAGTTCTATCGAAGTGTGCTTTTTTCCCTTGAAATTTATACCAATTATTTGATTTAAAAGAAATATGAAAAGCATTCTGAAGGTGCGTTTTACTTCAAAATAAACGATCCCGGAAAACATTTCAATTAATACTGTATTGTAGATGAATTAGTTTAGATATTTTTATGTAAGAGCTAAGCACTAGTTGTCAGTATCGGATTGTTTATTTTAACACTTGCGAATTTGGTATGATGTTTATTTATCATCTACGAGTGAGAAAATGTCTTCAGAATTACACATTATTTCAATGGGGAAATCATACTTTGTTTGGCGGGCTGATGAATAATTTGTTTTGAACGAGCTGACGAAAAATAAACACTTGAAGAAAACGATTCTCCTGATGTACCTTTTGTCTGCTTCATATTTGCGTTTTTTTAAGTAAATGTATTCTTTAATTTTGTAATATTCTTATGTGTTACGGTACTATTTTTTAACAACAATAGCAAGAACAACAGCAGAAGGAGGACAAAAATCATTGTTGGTAGTACAAGTCCACGGATTAAGCTGTGGCCAAACTAACAAGTCCGCTTCTCAAATTGGGGATCAAGGCAATGTTTCCAAATTCCGTTAATCCCATCTTCTCGGTCATTCCCGCCAAACTTCGGATAAGAAGTTTATTAATAATAAGAAGATTATTAATGATAATAGCCGAGATGTTCCGATTGGGATGTCCGCCACTAAGTGTCTATATGTATAAAATATATAGTCTGTATATTTACACTATCATTTAAATGTTCGAATCCCAAATAATGTTAATATTATAGAAAAACCTTTATCAGCAATAGATAAAAATGCCGAAGAGTTATGTTGATACATAAAATAAGTACTACTTCTATGTGTCGATCTTCGATAAGTCGATTTCTTCAATGTGTCGAAGTATTTGCAAGTTAAATGATCGTGCAATCTGACCATAAAAATGAATCTTCAAACTGAATAGGGGTATTGAACCTAGGAACGTATGACCATTTAGATGGTGCAATCTTTTTCGGACGACAATGCTTTGAAAGTATTCTTCGAAAGATTAAGTAAAAGCAAATTCTGAGATATTAGAAATTGTGGGTATTATGGGAAATCTTAGTATTTTTTAGGATTTCCATTTTACGCGCCGTTTTCCTAATTTAGTGTCCGTATACCTGGAAAGATTAAATTCTCGTCGTCCACTTGGTAGGTTTCAAATAAGTAAGATCTGACAAGTTCAGTAATTAGTATCTGATAAAAACATCGGGATTTCTCATTTGGAAACGTCCGTATATTTATGGTTATTTTCACTGATCTATTATAAGCAAGTGGTCGAGATCATCCGCATAAAACTGACAAATGTTTTAAAAATTATTTTCTATTTAGCGAATTTAAACATCAAAGCCGGCCTTAATTCATTTTTCTGAATCTTCCGGAAATGTCTATATTATAAATTCAATATATGTTTTACCGCTACTCTCTCCAGTACGGTACTAACATCTACTAATTATGAACACAAAGGGCTCATTGACACTGAACCGCCGAAAAACCTGTCCCTGAAATCATCAAAGACTCTCGCTAGAGAAACTTGAAACAGTTTTAAGTAGCGGTATATAGGTACTTGAAGAAACGAGCAAACGAGGCCCCGCTGTGAACATTGAGAGCTCTGAGGTGCCTCTCAGCTGGATAAAGGCCTTTAATATGAATTCGCGAAAATGAGAACGTTCAGCGCGCGACACGGCGTATGATGGTTGTCAATGAAAAATAAATTTAATTTAATTTTTTTTTTGAAAAATAATTTTGGTGCATAAATGAAATGTGTGTGTCTTTTTTAAAAAAAATATTTTTTGTGTGTGCATAAATGCATTTAATTATCATTTCCACTTAGAGGCCAGCATTCAGGAACATTTAGTTGGTCACAATTCCATAAAGATGCCAGCATTCAGACACGTATGGTTGGTCACAATTCCACATAGCGGCCAACATTCAGGCAAATATGGTTGGTCTCATTTCCACGTGGGGGCCAGCATTCAGGCACATAATTATGGTAGGACATTGAATGAAGCGACGTACAGATTAATCAGTGAAACGAGTTAGATTTTCAAATTGAAATCACAGTAACAATTCAATTTAATTTCTATAACCAAACTTTAGTACGAAATAGCTTTGCAAAGGTAAGATATGATTCCCTAATGTTATTTTACTGTTACTATGCTTAAAATATGAAGTGGTCTTGTCCA